CTCCAGTAGTTTTACCGCTTCTTGTAGGTCTCTCGCAATTAGTCTCAATTAGTCTCTTTCCCTCTTTGAAGATGACTATAGAGGCTGGGTATGCCCAACTGAACTGTACTTTACTGTTGTAAAGTTTCTCTTTTGACTCAATGTGTCCTGGCAGAAGTCTTGCCTGACATAAGCCTTCTTCCCTTTATAATTCAGTCCTTTAATTTTTTCTAAGGTTGAAAATATCTGTAGTTGTTTCTTTTCTCTTGCAAATTTTACTATGACAGGCCGTGGTACTCCCCCCCTTCTCCTTGCCTGCAGCCTATGTACCCTTTCTATTTGGTCTTCTTCTAGTTCTATCCCTTGTTCAGATATCCATTCCACAGTACATTATTCCAAATTCTTTTGCCCATCATCTTCTGAAATCCCATATATAATCAAATTTGCACATCTGCTTCTATCTGACAGTTCTGCATTCTGTTTCTTCAATTGGGTGATTTGTTCCTTGTTATCTTGAGCCATGTTTTTTGCCTGCACAGCTGTCTCCTTGACTCCTTGGATCTCTGCCCTTATCTGTTTCACCTTCTGTTTAACTTTAACAATCTCTTTTGTTATTTTTTCCTGTGAGATTAAAGCCTGAAAATGGGCAATTTGCTCCTACAGTGCTTTTACTGTGGTTGTCATTTTCAATTAATTTGCTGACTGCAGCCTCTCTATCTATAAACATTGATAACCGTCTTCTTACCCTTCTGAGCCACGAATTCCTCGGCTCTCCTTGTTCCTTGTTGACTTAGACACTGTTCAAACTGTTCTCTAGCGGTTTAGTGAGATTTATTGCCTTCTTTTAGGTCATAAATCTTTCATCTGTTCGGAGTGGGCGAGTAACGGCGTCTGCTTCTCAGAGCATGCGCACACCACTCCCATGGGAAGCCCTCTCAACCCAGTTATAGCAAACTTTGACATGGAGCATTTTGAAAAAACAGCTTTAGAATCTGCACCCCACAAACCAACAGTCTGGTACGTAGATGATACCTTTATCATTTGAAACCATGGAGAAGTAGAATTGATGGAGTTTTTAGACCACCTCAACAACATCCACCCTAACATACAATTCACCATGGAAAAAAAAGTCAAGGGTAAAATCCCATTTCTAGATATCATGGTCATCCGCAAAACTAATCTTCAATTAGGTCACAAGGTCTACAGAAAACCAACTCACACGGACCGCTACTTGCATAAAAACTCCAATCACCACCCTCGGCAAAAAAGAGGCATAATCAAAACATTAGTAGGCCATGCAAGACAGATAAGTCTCCCACAGGAAAAGTGTTTTTGCCATATATCAAAGAAATCACTGATCAGATGGGAAAACATATGAAAAAACACAACCTACAAACAGTATTCAGACCCACCAGAAATATACAACAGATGCTACGGTCAGCAAAAGACATAAGAGACCCCCTCACTTCTGCAGGAGTATACCGCATACCATCCAGTTGTCGACAAGTTTACATCGAGACCACACAGCGTAGCATTCGGACAAGAATAAAAGAACATGAAAGACACTGCAGACTTGGGCAACCTGAAAAATCAGCAGTGGCTGAACATAGCCTAATTCAAACAAGACACAGTATTTTGTTCCAAGACAAAGGTTGGACAACACTTTCAATTACCATGTCAGATTACACAGGGAAGCCACTGAAATTCACAAACAGAAACATAATTTCAACAGGAAAGAAAAGAGTTTAAAAATAAATAGGACATGGCTTCCTGTCCTGAAAAACACAAAAGACTTTACATCAGACAATAGCACTACAGATAAGATTAGAATTTCAACAACCTTCTCAGGAAGCAGGAAACCTCCTCAGGAAACAAAAGAACCTCCTCAGGAAAGCTCCTCCATTAACATGTCCATAGCCTGGGGAACTCCTACAAGACAATGACTCAGCCGAAGGATAAATCAAGTCGAAGGATAAAATACCCACCTTCTGGAGTAGACATAAATTTACTGCCTACCATTTTCTTCTCACCTTGACACAGAGAGTATTCCATCTTTCTGTGTTTATACCTCTGAGGATGCCAGTCACAGTTACTGGCGAAACGTCAGGTTCTACAATGCCAAGACCACGGCCACACATCTCGGAAAATCTACAGCAACTAAAGAAAATATGTTGTTTCAGAATTGCGGATCGTTCCTTGGAGCTGTTCCAGACTCTCTCTCTCATTAACGTCAGTCTAATAAATTGATATATAGTCTCAATCCAGTCAGCTTGTTCTTCATTTCTCAATATCTTGATAAGGAATGTCAACAAGGTCGTCTGATGATAGATCTTTAAGTCCAGAAATTCCAGTCCACCTTGAGAGTTGCTCCGTTGAATTACTTGGAAACTTATCCCAGGACGCTTGTAATTCCAAAAAAATGAGTTTAGGTCATTTTGCCATTCCTTCAATAGGTTGTTTGGAATAGCTATAGGTAGAGTGCGGAGTAAGTAAAGCAGCTTCGAAAACGCAAAGGATTTGACTAAGTGTAGCCGGTCCATAAGTGACAGGTTCATCTGATCCCACTTAATAAAATCTTGTTTAATTTCTCAGAATTTGGCAATGTGATTAAGCAGCAGTAAGTCTGCCGGATTTCGAGGTATTTGGACCCCAAGATATGGTAAAGATTTAGTTACTTTTTGAAAACCACTGAGTTGGCATTCACTGAGTTGGCGTTCAGTCACCTTAGATAAATTGAGAGGCATCATGTAAGATTTATTATGGTTTATCTTCAGTCCCGAAATGTTGCGGAATGATTCTAGCAAACTGTTAAGGTGTCGGACAGAGTTTTCTGGATCGGTCAGATAAATCAGCATATCGTCCGTGAAGAGACTTATTTTGAAATTAGATTGTTCCAAGGTTACACCTTTAATCTGTGGATGTTGTCGTGTCATCTCATCCAGGGGTTCCAGTGCTATAGTGAATAGGATTGGAGACAGGGGACGGCTAAGCTATATTCTGATGTCCCTGGTGTCATTGCCTTTCCACCACTTGATGGAATCCTGAACCTTTCTACAAGCCTGCGTCCATTCCAGCAACTTCCAAAAAAGGTGGAAAACTTGTACGGGGTGCAGCAGAGGGGTGTCCTTTTTATTTATGCACCCAGCCTATCTTTGCTAGTTGCAGAAGAGATGCAAGTTAAGGAAGGACAGGGGTCACACTCCACCCCTGCAGACGAGGAAGGGAAAAAGATAGATGAGCAGGAAGGTGTATTCTAAACCTTAAGATTACAAACTATAATGCTATCATGGGAGGATACCAGATATTTCCATGGAAGAAGATGGCTTCCTACATTATTACTCTGCCCGAGGACATGAAATAGTTGAAGAAACTTATTCAAGGGGAAGCCGTGGGCCTCTGCAAACAACAAATTAATGTTGGCAGACATCTGGCTGACTCTTTGCCAAGGGTCATGGCTTCAGCCATCCTCTTGCAGAGATTCACTTGGCTAAGGTCAACAGCTCTACCAATGGAGATGAGTTGAGAACTTGACCTTTGAAGGCACATCCCTTTTCTCTGCCAAGATGGATGAGACATCCCAAATTAAGAAAAATAAACAAACAGCACATTTTTGGGGAGTACCTCTGCTCAGCATCGGCCTCACAAGTGGTGTTATTCATATATGTACTATTATCAACAGCCTACACACTGGTACCAGCACTCCTATCAACCACAACAATATCTTTCCCAGAGGTCTTTTTCACAGCTTCTTCCACAAGGGGCACATCAGCCTAGATCGGACTCCCAACAACGACCCTTCAAGGAGCCTCAACGGGGCAAAAGAACCCCTTCTGACTAGCATCTGCTCAGGATTCTGCCACCAATAATTTTTTGGACAGATTATTCCCCTTTCTTTCTGAATGGCCAGCTATAACTGACATATGTGTTCTATCTACTGAGATCTGGCGGCATCAGGCTAGTTTGGGCTATTCAGGTTACAACTTTTGCTTTAATGCTTTCCAACTGCCATCTGGAAATTCTCCTAGTCATTTACAAGTCATTTGTTTGACTTTGTCTCTGACATGGGCTCAGGAACAAGTTCAAGGTTAACTGTTAATCTCGATTTATGTTACTGAATTTCTGTTATCAACTTTTGCACATAATTGAAAAAGTTGTGCTGTACTTCTCTCCCCCTTCCCTTCCCCATGAGCTTCAAAAATTCAAGGGACACTCTAGTTCTCTTCCTTTCATTCATTTATAGGTGAAAGGCTCAATAAATCATTAATGCCAAAATTCTGTTGCATTATAGTTGTATTTTGATTTACTAGACAGCTGACAGGAAAAAAAATTAGATTGCTTTGAAATATGGTATTAGAGGAGAGTTGGGGTCTAGATCAAATCAAGCCCGAAATCTCCATAGAAGCTAAAATGACCAAACTGAGGCTATCTTACTTTGGTCATATTATGAGAAGACAAGAGTAGCTGGAAAAGCCGATAATGCTAGGAAAAGT